ACTATTGTAATCTCAGCGCTTGATGAGCTTAGGTCTTGTCAATTCAAGCGCCGTTAGTCAGTTAATTATGCGGGTTAACAAGCCCAAACTTGAATACAAATTAGTTCATCTCTACAGCTAAACCCAAGGGAGCACCTTGACTTATTATTGTAAAAACACAAACAATTAATTACTTAACAAGGATCAATTTAAACACGCGACAAATAAATTGACAAGATACGAGATACAGTTTTAAAACCTTTATTGAAAACCAGTGACAAAAAGAGTCGAACACACAGCGATTTGGAAGGGATGTAAATTAATCATCTTTTTGGCCCATGGAGTACTTGTAAGGTCTAACTCGAAATTTCTTATGCCGAGTTCGTTTCCTCTGTTTGCCATGAGCATTATGATCATCCAAATAATTTACAAATTGAATCCGACGCCTTTTGCGCTTCGGTCCTTGTGATGGGGTTTCTACTGTGGAAGGAGGGGTCAGGAAAGCAGGGTTTAAGGTTAGTGGTGGGGTGGAGCTTTCGTTTTCAGGTTTTTGCAAGATAGCCGCTTGTGCTAATTTAGGTGTTACGTTGAAGGGGTTAATGGGAGTGGAGAATGCTGCCGTTGCTGTCGAAGAATCTTGTGTGCTTGATGTTAAGTCTGGAACAGTGCTTTCTTCCGGTCGTGTTCTTGTATTTAATTGTTCTTTAAAAGCCAGGTATCTGTTTTGCAACTGAAAGTATCTCTTAGCTTTTTTATCGTCCCGAAGATCGTTTCGAGAAAGCAAGTCGTCCATGTTGCCCTGTATTTCTTGCATAGCTGGAAGAAGTGGGACAGGCGAAAGATTTTGCTGCTTTAGATATTTTAAAAGCTCTTGAGGAATATTTTCTTGAAACCCTGCTTGGTTAAAACCTTCTTCACTGGGCAGGACGTTTGTTCGCAGTCGACAATTATCTTGGGTAGTAGATTTCAGATCAATCAGCAGATAACCAAAAGGTCTTTTTACAGCCTCCTCGTACTGATTTAAAAAGAAATCAGTTTGCCCGGGATACATTTGCTTGGCAAGAGTCAAGATTTGCAATTTGTCTCGTGGGTTCTTGAATAACACCAAATAATGGCAGTTTAGGCTAATGCTGCGACTACCTTTCCCCTGGTGCAATAGATTCTGCACGATATATATCACGCTTAGATTGCGATGATGAGAACCACGAGTAAAGAGGTTCACAATTCGCTTGTCTTTACTGGCGTCAATCATCTTCAACTTTTCGTTATGAGCCCCATGGTCATGTCATAATAATAATACAATACAATAGTTTATTGACACTCCCCTGGTGGGGCTTTTCAGTGAGAATGCGACTAAAAAAAAAAAAACTAATTAAGATAAGAGAAGTAGTTAACAATTCGATTAAAAAGAAAGAATGCGGTGAACAAAGCAATATAAACATACCTATTTAAGAATTAATAGTATAATAAATATTCTCACTACGTACTATACAATATGCATATTTTAAGTTAAAATAAAATAAGATACTAGTAAGATACTAAAATACTATCATAACGTGCTATTTAAAAAGTCAGTAATCAACTTATTTTTCAGACAAAATTTAAAAGTAGAAATCGATTTTGCAGTTTTAAGAGTACTGTCTAGATTGTTCCAAATGTGCACCATGCGGTAGTGGAATGTTCTCTGTCCGGTACTCGACTTATATATACAAGGGGATGTTTAATAACTGGCAACTTCGAGTCACGCGCCCGGTGACCGCAATTCTTGTTGTAAATTGATCGCTGAGGTAATGTGGAGCTTGACCACTCATACATTTAAATGCCATGAGAGCGTCGCGGAAGAACAGCTTTTGTTTAATTGGAAACCAACGTAGATCTCTTAGTGCGGGGGTTATATGATCAAATTTCCTGGTACCTGTAATAATGCGCGCGGCAAAGTTCTGCACTGACTGTAGTCTACAGATATTTTTGTTCGAGGTGTTCGACCACACTGTGGAACAGTACAGTAATTTGCTAAAGACTAGTGCATTTATTACTGTCACCAGTTGGTTACGGTCAAAAACATGTTTAACCCGACTGATTTGTGCGAGGCTTGACATACAAGATGACGTAGTTTTTAGAACATGGTCATCAAACGTTAGTTGCGGATCTAAAACAACCCCAAGATCTTTGGCCGAAGATGTAAGAGCGAGATCTTTTCCTAGAAGAGATATTTTGAAGTCGGGGAGTTTGGCAAGTAGTTGTCGGCTTCCAAAGACTACGAGTTTTGTGTTGTCAGGATTTAAAAGTAGAAAATTGTTAAAACACCAATTACGTATTAAAAGAAGGTCGTTATTTAGATCGTTCATAGCAGTCGGACAATCACGCATCTTAAAAGAAATCTGAAGTTTAGTGTCATCTACGTAACATTGCGTTAAACAGTTTCTAGGAACAGAAGGTAAGTCGTTAATGTAAATACTAAAAAGAAGCGGCCCAAGAATGCTTCCTTGAGGGACGCCACTATTTAAACGCAACGAATTCGAGAGGGTCAAGTTAATACGCACGACTTGGTGTCTGTAGGTCAGGTAGCTAGTAAACCACACGAGAGCGTATTTAGAAATACCAAGATGTTGTAGTTTTAAAAGGAGAATATCATGATTTATACTGTCAAATGCCTTACTCATGTCCAACAAAACCATAGCAGAGAGTTCCTGCTTATCCATGCCAGTCAAAATGGCATCTGTGGAGCGGATAAGTGCCGTTTCTGTGGAATAAAATTTCTTATTTCCACTTTGTTTCGCAGAAAGACGGTTGTTTGTTGTTAAATATGCCGTCAGCTGGTTCAACGCAATTCTTTCACACACCTTTAACAATACTGGTAATAACGAGATCGGTCTGTTATTACAAGGTTGTTCATGATCTCCCTCCTTTGGAATAGGCGTTACTTCTGCTTGTTTCCATCCTCCAGGGAAAACGCCATTTGTAAGAGAGGCATTGATGACGTGAGTAATCGGCGACAAAATAACTGACAGTCCATCCTTGATTACACGTGCAGAAATTTTGTCAAAGCCCGGTGCTTTGTTTGATGGTAACAATGCGATGATCTGTTCAACTTGCTTACAATTAACAGAATGGAATGAAAATTGTTCAGACTATGGATAGTGCGTAGGGACAAAGTTTGTTTTTGTAAGATCGTAATTACATTCAGAGGCAAGTGCTTTGATTTTGTCAACAGTGGTTCGGCCAACTGAGGTAAAAAATTCATTAAAGGAGTTTGCAACAGATTCCTCATCCTGATTATATACCAAACGACTTGACGATTTCCTAGGAAGGATGGATCTTATGGTTTTCCACAAGTTACCCGAAGAATTATTTTGGTTATTTGCGATCTGATCCCGAACAAACTCTCTTTCGGCTATTCTGATTTCACGTTTAACCTCTCGTCTATAGTTCCTGAATCCCGCCCAGGCAAGAGGGTCGTTAGATCTATGCGCCAGTTTCTTCCATTTGTCTCTTGTTCTCATTAACTCGCGTATTTCAGGCGTAATAAATGGGTTGGGACGGCTACGAATTTTGACCTTTTTGACAGGTGCGTGTCGATCTAAGATTTGCTCAAAAAGCTGGTGAAAGGCATAGAGGCAGTCGTCGACATCCTCAAACGTTTCAATTATATGCCAGGGGACCTCTGAAAGGTCACGAGTAAATACTTCCGGTTTATAGTTCTTGTAGCTCCTAGTTAGAATGTATGTCGGTTTGGGACGGCTCTTTTTCATGTTCAAAACAACAAGTATTAGTTCATGGTCGCTAATTGAGGAAGGAGAAACTTTTGCTTCCTTCACTAAATTAGCATTTGAGACCAAGGCGACATCAATCAGTGATTCCGTAGACTCTGTAATCCTCGTTGGGTGACTGATAACTTGCGATAAATTGAAAGAAGAGCAAAAACTCACGAGGGTTTGTGCCGGTGGGTCTTGCAAACACAATAAATTACAGTTAAGATCACCCAAGATGAAAACGGGCAAGTTCATCGACAGTGCTGAAACTAACGTGTTGCTAAAGTCGGAATCAAAGCAATCCAAGTGTGTGTTAGGTGGTCTGTAAGCCGTGCAGACTAGAAACGATTTGAAATTACGTACTTGAATTTTTAGCCAAAGCTGATGCAAGCCAGACTCAGAAATGTAGGAAATGTCAGATAACCGTTCAGCCCGATATTCTTGCCTAACAAAGGCGCAGACACCTCCTCCATGTTTGTTTACGCGGTCGAGTCGATGTAAGATGTACCCAGGAAATTCAACTTCAGCGTCGGAAACAGAGCTATCAAGCCATGACTCAGAGATTGTAAAAATGTCGATTTTGTTAGAAATGACAGTTTCCTTGGCCAGAATAAGATGTTCCCGGTTCTTAAGCGAACGAATATTCAAATGTGCGATCTTGATGTTACCAGTAGTTTCGCGTCGTCCTCGTGGTCTGCTTGATTTATTACAGTTATTCGTTGGCATCCCTGGATTAAGTTCGATGTCGCCAGAAAGCAGAAGTCGTTGAATTGAAAAAGTGGAGGCCGAATTAGGGTAATAGGATGTTTTGGACTTGAAGTACTTGCCTCTTCTTGGAAGTTTAAACTCAGTTGTAGTCGTACCATTCGCTCGCGATCCAGAGTACGGCTGAGTTGAGAATTTTCTCGAAAAGCAGCTCGAACCGGTGAGATTCGTCGAAGAAAAAACACACCCGCCGTCAATAGAAGTTTTACTTGACCATTCCAAGAGAAAATTCCACTTAAGTCCCCAATACAACAGAGATATAAGGACAAAATTTAGGAGCGCCATGTTAGCACGTCTCGCCATGTTAGCATATGTTAGTATACATGTAGCTTTATGCTATTTCCATAAAATCTGGTCATTACCGGAGATCTACGAATCGTAAGAAACAGAAAGCTTAGACGACTACTAGAGAAGGGTCCAAAGTACAGGGAGCAGAATAATGTCGATTGGCACCTTAACAAGAAGATATTGACAAAGGCGGTAGATGATTACGCCAGGAATTGGAGTAAACGAGAGGGATGCCACGTGTCAGCTCTGGAGTCATGGTCGGAGACGGTAAAACTTATCATCAGCAACAGGATAAGCAATTTAGAACATCGAAGTTTTCGTCCTTGTCATAAAATCTTAGAAGACCCGCATATCAAGGCATACTTGACAGAACTTCAAAGTAAATATGTACTGGTTCCTGCAGATAAAGCCGCCAACAACATCATTTTTGTTTGTAAGTGTTATTACGTACATACTCTAATGGCAGAGCTTGGCATAAATTCAAGAACAAATCGTAATTCTACATATGTAACTCAGGATCGTACAGTGGATGATATAATACAGACCCACGCCACAACATTGGAGGATGTATTTGACATCAAATTACAACAGAAGGAGAAAAGCTTGCCACAGATATATTGGATTCCTAAACTTCATAAGACACCGTACAAGGCAAGATTTATTGCAGGTTCAAGTTCATGCACTACAACTAGGCTCTCTAAATTAATTACTGAGTGTCTTAAACTGATCCGCACCCACTGCACCGCTTACTGCAAGACGATTCGAGTAAGGACAAGTGTTAACTGCATGTGGATCATCAATAATTCGTTGGACATTATCCGTGTACTGGAAGAAAAACAGCTTGCCCTAAATCATGTGAGTACTTGGTACTTTTCGACTCTTTATACTAGCCTTCCACACGCCCAACTTAAAAAGCAACTCCATGATCTTTTGGAAAGAGTTTTTAATACTAAAGGAAAGAGCTTCATTGCTACCAATAACTTTCGCACCTTCTGGACGAATGACAGAACGTCAACGAGGTACACGTACTTCTCCTGTAGAGAGCTTGGTCTCGCTATTGACTTTCTTATCGACAACATCTACGTTGGTTTTGGAAGCTCTGTTTTCCGGCAGGTTATTGGTATACCAATGGGCACCAACAGTGCACCTTTATCGGCTGATCTCTTCCTTCATACCTTCGAGTACGATTTCATGGTCACAACAATGAAACAGGATATTACAAAAGCCATCCACACCATCAAGCCATCAACACCTTTCGGTACATCGACGATTTATTCAGTGCTAACAATGTGGACTTTGGAAATTACATCAGCGCAATTTACCGGTCAGAATTGGAACTTAAGGACACTTCCACATCATCTACTGAGGTGTGTTATCTCGACACTAATATCAAGACCGGCGACAACACACTTTTCCGCATCAGCATCTACGATAAGAGAGAGGACTTTGCATTTCGGATTGTCAACTTTCCTCATATGGACAGCAACATTCCCGCCAATCCAGCTTACAGTGTTTATATATCTCAACTGGTGAGATATGCTAGAATTTGCACGTCCAAAGTTGACTTCATCAATAGACTCTGTGGTCTTTCATTACGACTCAGACAGCAAGGCTTTGAAACCAATCTACTTCAAAAATCATTTAATAAATTCTTCAGTCGCCATAGTCTTATCGTCGAGAAGTATGGTGCAACCCTGCGGGAGATGAGATTAGCAATCCAGGCTTGAATTGCACCATCGTATCCCTACACTACTTATTTATTGCATAGAGTTGTATTTCAGTTGTATCTCGGTACGTGTGCGCGTACAATTTTATTTTGAGCGCGCGCATTATTTGTTTATTTATTTAATTGACGTGTACATTTAGTTCGTTTATTAACGTCTTAATTTTACTTTGCGTTATTTTCCTCACTTACACATTGTCCGTGACTGTGCTCACATGGTGGGTGGCTCCTCGTAAAATGTTCTGCAATTGGTATAAGATTTAACGGAGCCGAAACCAATTGTGGAATTGCACGCATTTTAGGCATCCTACTGATGAACAGTTGCGACGCGTAGATATATATATTTTTAGCGACTAAGATGATTTGAAGTCTGTCTACTTTGAATTTGATCATCAAACACGATCAAATTCCGTTTCTTCACATCAAAATAGGAATCCTGCTCCAATGCCGTGGGAATTCCTTTGACGAATTCAATGTGTGGCATGGCGACTAGCATTTCTGTATATGCAGGCTGCCATTGTGAATAACACCAAACAATCCTCTCCGGGGGAGGGTAAATTGTCTCTGAAGCTTGTTGCAATACAGATCGAACCCAGGCCCTTTTTCCTGAGCCGGTCATTCCAGCAATCATATAGGTAAAAGGATGCTCGAATCGAAAACGCTGACATTTCTGTGAAAACGGAACTGTTTGAAATGGTGTGAGACCAACATTGTGGTGTTTAGACATCACATGCCTTTGCATGCTATCCTTTCTACTAAATGATTTTTCGCAAACGGAAGAGAACCAACTCATGTCAGCTCCTCAGGAGCAGAATGTAGACTGAGAAAATGCTAGCATAATGCGCACTGATATAGTTTTGAAGGCTATAAAATTCATTATAGTTTTCCTCCACCACCACCACTTTCCTATTGTGTTCCTCCACCACCGCCCACCGCCACCACCACATTTCTATTGTTTTCCCCCCACGACCACCGTCACCACCGCCACCACATTACTATTGTTTTCTCTCCACCACCACCACCACCACCGCCACCACCGCCACCACATTTCTATTGTTTTCACTCCTAGGATTTTTGATGCTATAAAATAGGAAACGAAACTATAAGTTACTCATTTGAAGCTACGGTCTGTCACGGGTACTCATCAAAATGAAGAGAAAGATAGATTTGGTTGAAGAAGAACACGAGAGTGAACATGAAGAAAGCGAAAGTTCTAGTGATGAAAGCGAGGATGAAGAACCAAGAATAAAAGAAGGACCAAGAATAAAAGATGTTTTGAGTCATCTTTCCCGAGCAGTGTCGGAAAAGCGTGCTTCTGATTTGCTGCATAGTATGGCCGCGTCCAAAAATATTCTTTTCTGGACTCCCAGCGGACAATTACTTCGAAATAAACGCACTATTCCCGTCACAAACATCGCCGAGCTAGTTGAGTATGTGTTACTCCCTCATAACAATGAGGTTACCAAGCCTCGTGAGCTGAATACGTTTCTAGATGGACTTGCAGAGTTAGGAATCGATAAAGGTTTAATCAAGAACAAAAAGTTGTTAAGTGATTTAATGGAAAAGGAAAAAGGCTACCGAAATGTAGAAAATACTTCCGATAACGAGAGTAATAATGAGGAGAGTTCATCGGATATTGAAAATCAGGAGGAGGAAGAGGAAGTGGCTTCTGAGAATGGCGTTGAAGCTGGAGGCACCCAAGAGAGCGACAACGACACTGAAAACAATAGTGAGGAAACAGAAAGTAGTAGCCCCGAAACGTCCACCACCTTCACTCTAAAAGTCCCTGTGAACATTGCGAAAACTCTAATGTGTACTCCACATTGATCATGAAATGTCCTAAATGCTTTTGGCACGATAACTACAAGATTTGTCCTATATGCGATCACCAGATCCCCGAGAAGAGAAAATAAATCAAAGTAGGCTTTATTAGGTGTGGATTAATTACACACAAAAACGCCAAGACGTTGGAAACCAATTTTTATTTACCTTCTAAAGAGGAGAACGAAGAAGAGGTCTAATTTCCATCCTTTCCAAATCGCTGTATGTTCGACTCTTTTTGTCACTGGTTTTCAATAAAGTTTTTAAAATTGTATCTCGTGTCTTGTCAATTTATTAGTCGCGTGTTTAAATTGATCCTTGTTAAGTTATTAATTGTTTGTGTTTTTACAATAATAAGTCAAATTAAGGTGCTCCCTTGGGTCTAGCTGTAGAGATGAACTAATTTGTATTCAAGTTTGGGCTTGTTAACCGGCATAATTAACTGACTAACGGCGCTTGAATTGACCACAGGCGGCCCAGACGTAGTATGGGTCACTGAATGAATATATTAATATTCACATGGACAACTTAATGCGATGACTCGTCGAAACTCCCATGAACTAAAATAGTCCAAAAGCCACAATATAACAAACCAAAGCTAAGATACCTTCGTGACTGAACGTATCATTGCCCGCTTTTATTTTGAACTCATAACAGTTTCTACAATATCCAATCAGAAGACTATGGCAAACAATATCTAATCAGAAGACTGTAGCAAATAGCTAATTATATAAAAATCGCTTTTCTGTTTATAGATTATGATCTCAACATTTTTTGATGACGTCAACTCTAGGAAATTCTGACGTCACTTGCTCCTTGCCAGCTGCAAATAAACTGATATCATCCTATCTATATGACATGCATGACGTCAGCCAGCTAAAAATAAACTATGACGTCATCCTATCTTAATAGCATGCGTGACGTCATCGGCATAAATTTAAACTATGACATCATCCTATCTTAATGAGAAGCATAACGTCATCTGCGTTAATTTATACCGCAGAAAAAGTTAATTAAATCCGCAAAACAAGGAGTAACCGGTCCCTCCCCTACTACTCACCAGTTCACGTTACAATTCAAATTGGTCCAAGTTTCGTCAGTTACCTTCAGCAGCTGGACCGCTATCTCTCCTTTTCTTTTTAACAATAAACTTTTTACGGACACCGACGCCAAAAGAAGAATCGTGGTCATGATCAGTAGCCTTTAAATTGTTATTTTCACGTTTTCCGCCCTCGGTGACATCTTTGCGTACTCGTGTTTGAAATTGAAGCCAATGCATAACATAGTACTAATTGAACGCAACGTCTTGTTTGAAACCAGCTGAAACTGGTTTTATGTTCGATATGTTGCAGTATTCGATTATGTTTGATTGTTTAAGTGTTCCATTTCCGAACGTTCGATTACGTTCGATTGGCAAAATTTTGGGGTGAGTTCGATTAAGTTCGATTACCGAACCCAATCGAAGTCAATCAAACGATTGGAGTTCGTTTGAGTTCGATTAGCTAGTCCGGGCGTTATTACGGCCACTTGTTTGGGCCGCCCGGCAAAACGGCCTAGTAATTTCTTGTAAAATACCTTCGTTAATATGGCCATTTTCTTTTTTGGCCCATTGGTGACCGTATTAATGGGGTTGTAAAATTCCAGCCTCGCACGCGGACGTTCTTAGCTCAGGAGTTCGTCTGCGTGCGAGGCTGGAACTGTTCTCTCGCGAATAGTCCATTTTCGAGTTCGCTATGACCGCTGAATTACTGAGAAGTGAAGACGCATTTTTTTACAGCCTTAGCCTCCATCTGAAGTAATATATTCACAAATTCCAACGAGAAAAAGACCTGTTTATTGCTCTGTCTATTGTGTATACAGCTATTTCGAGAAAGGTTGTCAGAAAAAATGTGCACGCGACAACCCCGAGAGGTAACATGGGATATGATCAATACACTGTTCCTAACGACTGTAACTGTCGAACCTACTTTGGTTGCTTTCCATTAGCACTCGCGAACATACGTCCGTGGCCTCTCGTGCCATTCTTTCAAATTTCTCCGGAGAACAGGGCAGAAAAAAACCACCCACAAAACCTTTCAGGATTGTCGCGTGCACTTTTTCCGACAACCTTTCTCAAAACAGCTGTATTCAAATTTCAAACACTTACTTGCCAGAATTTGTGAATATTTTACTTTACGTCGAGGCTAACCCTGCATGAATGTGTCGTTAATGTTTATATTCAGCGGTAATTTTTAATTCGAAACTGGACTATTAAAGCGTGCCTTCAATTGCAACACGATACTGATAAGATAATGCTTATAAACAGCCAATGAAATTGAAACTTCATTCGGACTAAAGAATGTTCGCTATAGAAATTAGCCTTAATGAATATGATTGTTCTTCTCAATGCAAATATCTCTAATGACTATACCACAAAATCAATCAAAAACATTTGATGAAAAAGCGAGTAAATTGCAGGCAAAGGTGGATTGTTTCGAGTCCTTCAAAAACAAAACAGAAAAAAAATCAAAGAGCTGGAAGACGGATTGGATTTTGCGAACACGGAACGCCAGCCTTTCAAGGAGAAATTTGACAAGCTGAAATGCGAAATTAATCAGCTCAGGGACGAAAAACTGTACATGGAAGTATACCAGCTGCGGGAAAATCTTTGTTTTTTCGGAATTAAAGAAGAAGCCGATACGGAGGAGGATGCGAGAGAGGTTTTGGTTGGATTCCTTAAAACAGAGCTTGGTATGGAAAATGCAGACCAAATCGAATTTCAAAGGGTTCATCGTGTTGGAAGGCGTGTTTCTTCCAATGGTAAACCTCGACAAATAATCGCACGTTTTTTGAAATACCCTCAACGTGTAGAAGTTATGTCCAATGCTGGAAAGCTAAAAGGAAAAAAACTTTGGAATTTCACCGGACCTTCCAAGTGAAATTTTGGAAAGAAGAAGAAAGCTCTTGCTATTTTGGACACTGTAAACAAATGAACTTAATGTCTTTTAGTTAATTATTATTTGTCAGCTACTTTATTTTCCTACCTACGTACACTTATGTAAATATCTTATATAGTGTGAAATAAAGAATTGAATTGAATTGAAGAAGATAAAGCAATTTAAACAAGCGAAAAAGGACGGCCTATTTTAGTAGGGCGGAACCGGCTAAATTGTTTATTGACGGTGTTGAGATGTAAGAAGATTA